GAAGGAGGGTTGGGGGTAGCGGGGCTGTCCCATGGAGATCCAGGCGGGCAGGCGGCAGAAGCAGAGTTAGGGGTAGCGGGGCTGTCCGGCGGAGATCAGGGAGGGCCGGGCGACAGAACCAGGGCTGAATGCGGGGGGGAGGGAGGCTGTCCGGGGGAGATTGGGAGGAGGAGGACGGGAGAACCAGCGTCCGGAAGCAGGGCTGGATGGGGGCAGCAGGGCTAGCCAGGGGAGATCGGGAGGAAAAGTGGGGGGATGGAGCGAATTGGCCAGCGGGAAGCAGGACTGACCCAGGCACATGCAGACTCAGGCACATGAGTGAGTCCGGCCCCGGGGATTCCATTTTGCCCCCTCACCTCATACCCTCCCTCAAGTAGTTGTGAACTGCCTGGCTGGTAGACACTTACACAGCGTTAGCACATCTACCAGCCAGGCAGTTCGCAGCTACGGACTGATGCACCTAATTATAATAAAACTTACCTAATTATATAAAATGTCCAGTATTTTCTGTCCAGTATTTTCTCAATTTGTTTCCCAGACAGAAGCCTCAAATACCAGACTATGGGGGACAAAACTGGACACCTTGCAACCATATCCTTCCTTGTACCCTCCCTCCTAGCCAAATACCCTACCCCCCAATCTGCTCCTGCAGTGCCCATGCAGTGCCAGGTCCCCCAAGACCTGGCCCAGGCTGGGCAGAGGATGCAGCCAGGTGAAACACTGAAAATTTAGTGTTTCATCTTACATCTTTCAAAATTCCATCTTACAGTCCATTTATCCAATCCATATTCCCTTAACTTGCTGGTAAGAATATTGTGGGTGACTGTATCAAAAGCTTTGCTAACGCTGGCACTGGGAGCTTTAGGAGGACCAGAAACAACTTAGTTGAATATTCATCAGTTGCTTAATTAATATGCAGATGACTGTTACCAGTCCTCCAAAAGCTGGTGAATGGATTTACTGGTCCCTGTGTCAAAAAGTTTGGGAACCCCTGATTTAAACTATGGATCAGTCCCTGTAGAATTTTCTGTGTCCATTACCTCATTGATTTCGGCTGGACAAAGGATACCTGAAGTCTATACATCTGCCCATCAACAGCATGTTGTCATGTTCCATTTTTTTCTCTGCTTGGAAAGGTGGAAAAATATGCTGCCCTTTATGGCACCTCAGTTCTGCTAACAGCTGCCAAAAGAAATCATGGATCCTGAGCATCTGTGTATGCTACTTGTGCACATACATATTCCATATATTTGAAATATTTCAATGTTGTATGCCAGGAAGTTGAGGAGCACAGTACAGTTTAAAAATGATACTGCATATAGTGAAAATATTTTATTAGTAACATTTTAAAATATTTGTTTAAAATTACCAACTTTTTTATAGGATGGAAGACGATGGAATCATTGCTTTCTTTGCAAAAAATGCGTAAAGCCTTGTAAGTACAGAACAATATTTTTCAAGTAATAGAAGTTGACTTACTATATATTTCTGTCCAAAAAAGTCAAAATAAAAAATAGAAATAAAAGTAATAAACTATAAGACATTCATGATTCAGTGCAAAAGTACCCAGTTTCCACAAAATTCAGCTTGTGTGGATGGATTTCACCTGCATGAAAATGTCTTTGTTGCTGAATCAAGGCACAGTTAATTCCTTCAATTAGTTATAGAAAAACTTAAAATAGTTTGATTCTTGCTTCTTGTAGAATCATGATTAAATCTTTATAAGATTTCTCAGCTGAATTCTCTAAACATATTGATGCATCTTTTCAAAATCATAAGTTCCCATTACTTACTTTTCAGCTTGGATTCACTGCAACACTTGCAATCGCTGTGCTCTGCCAGGTCACACTTGTGACAGAGCTAAAACTAGTTGCTTTATTTGTGATGAAGCAGGTCACAAACGCAGCACCTGCCCTAATCTCTCTGTGGCTGAAAGAGCTTGCCAGTAAGTATAACACTGCATATGAATATTTATTTGAAAAACCTCTCAGTTGTGGGATATGATTATTATTTCATGAGAATGATTTGATAGAAGTAGAGAGAAAGTTGTTCAGTAAATTCAGATTGTGATAATCAATAAGTTGAAGTTTTTATTTGAGCTAAGGGTGCAATTTCCAGCTCAAGGAGACACATTTGTGCTAACTTTTATTGAATTAGTACACTAAAACTGTGTCCATTGGAGATGTTAGGCAAGTATTTGGGACAGTTAGCTGCATTCTGCACTAGCTTGATCAGAGTTAGCGTATGCCTCCAAGCTGGGCATCGCATCTCCAGTTCAAAGTGTGGACACGACCTTCGAAGAAACAGGAGCTCCTTGACTTGTGCAGGATCTGGGAGCTCAGCACCCTCCTCCACTCCGATAGAGGCTGTTGCCTCTGTATCAGAGGCAGCAGCACGGGGGACCTGATTTTTAAACTTTCTCCCTTCATGGACCAGCTCCTGCCTGGAGTGGCAAAGGGCTCCCCAGGAATGGGGCCAGAGCATACTGGCTGCTGGCGCCACCCCCAGGGACTACAGAATAGTCAAGTAACTGAAAAGAATTCATGAGGTTAATCGACTATTCAGTTAACCAATATTTAACATCCCTAATGTGGAACACACTAATAAAAACAATTTTAAATAGGTGTCTGGTAGTTTGTGGGAGTGTTTTGAAAAAGGTCTTTTTGAAAAAGATCTGCACACTGAGCATATTTCAGACACATGCCCCTCTCCAAGATAGTACATTAATATGCCCATCATTGTCCATCATTGAAGGGTCTCTCAGACCGGACGACTTTCTGAATCTGAAAACGTAAAGGTAACTATTGAAAGAGAAGGGGAAAGATTTGAGTTTGTCAACAGAATTAACTAACCCAAGGTAGAACGAACACTAAATATCAATAATAAAAGATACAGCTATGAGGATATTGTTTCAGCTCTCTGTCATGGGTGTTAAGGAGGAACTGAGCAGCAGTTGGATCTATGCTGCTTTTATGCTCTTGAGCTATGTCTAGACTACTAGCCTCTTTTGAAAGAAAGCGTCTAGACTGCAACCAGTACTTTTGAAAAAGCAAGCTGCTTTTTCGAAAGAGAGCACCTAGGCAGTCTGCAGTCTGGATGCTTTCTTTCGAAAAAGACCTGTTAGCATTCAAGAACACCTTTTTTCAAAAGAGCACTTAAGAAAAAAGGCGTTCTTCCTCATAAGATGAGGTTTACCACGGTCGAAAAAATGCCACGTTCTTTTGATTTTTAATTTAGAAAGAACGTAGCACCAGTCTAGATGCAGGGGAAGTTTTTTTTTTTTTTTTTTTTTTAAAAAGGCCACTCTTTTCAAAAAAAATAAAAAATCCTGTAGTCTAGACACACTCTTGGGTGAGGGATTCTAACTGTCCGGTGGTCATCAGTATACAGAATGAGATTTTTGTGTACATGGGAGTTCATATTCCTCTAGATACGCATTTTCCACATGGATGCCACTTCAAGAACCACAATTACTATGAGGTTTTTTGAAGCTAAATTCATTCATTTTTGTCTGAAGCAGAAGAATCAGGATGACCAAAATAACGTACTCTAGTTGAGTAAGGCATGTGTATCTCTTGGCATATGAGAGTGTGTTTTAAGCATTCTTTTTCATAGATGAGATGGCAGAAATTGTGGTTCTGTGGCCTCTGTGATAGAGCCAAAAACTATACTCGCATTTGTGTCCATAACACATTGCAAGCTCATATTTGATTTGCTCTTACAGGTTGCACCTCTGTAAACCGGGACTCTGTGGTCTGGCAACCACAGATGTTCCAGGATCAGGGAGTCCTAATGTGCTTTGGTGGGGGAGAAGCCTGGCATGTGGCCCGGCTGGGCTCTGCCTGGGGGAGCTGGGAAGCCCCGTGGGGTGGCAAGGCATAGGGTCGACAGCAAGGGAGCCAGAAATGGCCTCCCCTGGTCCTGCAAAATCCTTCATCTGGGACTAGTCAGGTCCCGAGAGTGCTGGACCAAGGATGTCCAACCTGTATCGCTGCTAGGCATAGCCCACCATTTCTGTTTTCCAAAAATTTTAATTGTGGAGTAATACATAGCCAAAATGTAGAGAGAGCTTTATTCATATTTATCCCTACCATATTTCTCAAAGTAGTAAAATCTGCATGAAAATGACTGACCTTACTTTTACATGAAACTTTGTTTGCTTCCAGTTTTGGTGAGATCAAATATATATATCTTTCTGGACTATTGTAGTTCATGCAGACCGTAGTTTACTACTGTATTGTCAATATGTTTCTCCTGATATAAATTATTGGATTAACATGGGCTTAAACACCTGCAAATGTATGTTGTGGTTAGTACAAGACTCTATAGTTATTAATTGATAACCTATTACATAGATAGCATTACCATAACAGATGGAAAAAAATACTTGTTAATTATTTAGGTTTTAAATCCTGTGTTCCATACAGATTCTTATGTTTGTACAATTTCTTCAATAGTAAATTGGGCAGTGCAATTGTTGAACATGTAATGTCAACAATCACCATGTTTTATATTTGAGGTGATCAGATGTATACTTTTAAAAGTTTTAAAAGCATTTGAGTCTAAAATTACAATACTGAGTAAAGATACATCTATAGGTGTAAAATAAATTTAACCCCATGTCAATGTTGAAGTAAAAGTAGATTGTAATATCTCTGCAGAGATAATATTACAATCTTGCAAGTCGAATTTCAAAGGGTATGTCTACACTACCCTCCTAGTTCGAACTAGGAGGGTAATGTATGCATACTGCACTTGCTAATGAAGCCCGGGATTTGAATTTCCCGGGCTTCATTAGCAAGTGCGGTATGCATACATTACCCCGCTAGTTC